AGCCTGGCTGGGGCACAGGGAACGGGTATTTATCCCTCACCTACTCACAGTGGACTGGGAGCGCTCAAAAGCTGGGAAATAATTTCACTTTCCCAGCAGTTCTGGTGAAAATCGTGGACTTCCACGTGTAAGCGGCCGGAGAGGAACTGTGAGAGAGCCCTGCAATTTATTCATGCTTTGAATTAATAAAGATTTGCCCTCCTTCCTTGCCTTAAGATCCCCACCCGGTTCCCAGCGGGTTGTATGTCCTTACCTAAGGCTGACTGGGGACCCCGGCCTCAGAGCTTGAGTTTTTCCTCTCTCCAAGAGAATTTACCTTATCTGAAGGTGGTGTGACTGCTTGATAGGAGCAAATTGACCTTCTTCACATGATTGACAGATGCCACTAAGCGTTCCCATTTGAAAGACGCGCAGCAGCTCAACCGCTTACCTACTCAGTATGGTTGAAGAGAATTCTACATCTGCGTCCGAGTTTGTTCTCCTGGGCTTCACAAAGCGAGAAGACCTGCAGGTGATGTGCTTTGTCCTCTTCCTTGCCATCTACGTGGTCAGCCTAATTGGAAATCTGGGTGTAATTATACTAATCAGAATCGATTCGTTCCTACACACCCCCATGTACTTCTTCCTAAGCCACTTGTCTCTCCTGGACATCTGCTACTCCTCCACCATCATCCCTCAAACCCTGTGGAATTTTTTAGTGGAGAAGAAGGTGATCTCCTTCACTAGGTGTGCCGCTCAGCTCTTCTCCTTCGCGACCTGTGCCACCGCCGAGTGCTACGTGCTGGCTGCCATGGCTTACGACCGCTACATGGCCATTTGTAACCCCCTGCTCTACTCTGTGGTCATGTCCCAGAGGCTTTGCAGTGGGATGTTGGCTGGTGCCTACTTAGCTGGTGCGATCAGCTCCACCATACACACGGTTTCCATATTTCGTCTCCCGTTCTGCCAGTCCAGGCGGATCAATCACTTCTTCTGTGACGGACCACCGCTGCTAGCCCTCTCCTGCTCTGACACCCATGTCAACAAGGTGATGGTTTCTGCCGTGGTGGGCTTCAACGTGCTTAGCACCACAGTCTTCATCCTCATCTCCTACTTGTTGGTCCTCTCCACTGTCTTGCGGATGCGCTCCGTGGCCAGTCGGCACAAAGCCTTCTCCACCTGTGCCTCTCACTTGGTCTCCATCGCTTTGTACTATGGCAGCTCCCTCTTCACGTATCTGTGCCCTGGCTCCAGGCACTCCTTGGAGCACGACAAGGTGGTCTCCGTGCTGTATGCCATTGCAGTCCCCATGCTGAACCCGCTCATCTACAGCCTGAGAAACACGGACATGAAGAACGCCATGAGGAAAGCAAAAGGTAGAGTCCTCTCCTCCTTGTCCATTCACGGTTCCTGGTCAGCTGAAAGGAGAGGCTGCCTGCCACGGTGAGCAAGGTTAGATATTGCACCTTCAAGAAGGAGGGTTAGATACTACACCTTCCAAAGGCACCTGGAAGCAGGACACCTGGAAAACTCGTTTCTTCTTCAACCAAGGCTACTTCCTGCGCTAGGTGGGATGGGACTTTCCTGGCTGTAGCCTGAGACCTGACAGTGACCATGTATTGGGCAGAAAGTTCTCATCCAGAGTAAATGTTCTTTACATATGACTTGCAACAAATATTATTTATTATTTTAGTATCATTTAAAAATAATAAATTTCATTCCAGGCTTCAGAGAGCAAAATGGAGAATGCAGGTGGTGGCTTTGCCATGCTGACATCGAACAAGCCGGTGTCTGACTGCTCAGGTTTTATGTTAACGAGTGTCCTCTGGTGATGTTCCTGGCGTCGGGAGGATGCTAGCTGATTTTTCCAGGAGTTTTAGCTCCAGACCACAAAGTAAGGCCATGTGAAGTAGTGCCGTGACGGTGCGCTGGTCATCGAAGCACTCCTGGTAAAGGGGGACAAGGCACAGCTGAGCTTCTGCTCTGCCGTGAATTTAACCAGGCATGAGAAGGGCCAGGGTGCCAGTGGGAGGGGGGATTTTGGGTCTTCCTTCCCCCCGAACAGCCAAGGTCCCGGTGGCCGGGGTCGCCTCACGACGGAGACGGAGCAAGCTCAGTACCGAGCTGTTGGATCTGGGACTTCAAGCTCTGTGATTCACCCTGCAGACACACACCCTGCCCAGGCAGGTGGGACCTTTAACAAGAGTGGATTATTTTGCCTTCCATGTGTTTTTTTTTTAAATAATCTTTGATATATCTTTTTTTTTTGTCCTAAAGTTGAGTGAGGGTTATTTTTTACCCCCTCTGTTGTGTTGCTTTTCCCACTCATAAGCTTTGGTTTTAGCCCCGTACCAAATGTGGAAGCAAGAAATTAAAAAACACGGGGAAATCCTTTTCTACCCACCTCCAGTGCATCTCTAGGACTTCTAGTCTGGTGCCTTCCAGCAGAAAAATGAATCTACGTTAAAAACATCTAAAGCCATCTATATATTATATACATATATATCTATATACTTCTCCATCTTTCTTCCCCACTCCTTGGTATTCTCTTTTGTCTGCCCCATCCTTTGTGTTTTCTAAATGTCTGGGGACAAAGTTATCCTTTAATTTTTGATCTAAGGGTTTCATGATGTCTCTTCATCTAGCAGAAGCTTTCAGGAGCTCATCAGAATTCATCAGGGTTTCTCAGAAACTCAGGATTCACCAGAATAAAACTGGCAAATCCGAGTTCGTGCTGCCATATCGTCAAAGCAACAGCGTGAAACGATGCTTTTGAGCAAGCGCCGAGTGCGTTGGGCAGACGCCAGTAAAGCGCGTGGAAATAAATACGTCTGCTGGAGGGGACTCCCCACAGCCACACTCAAACCATTCACGCTGCTCCGTTGGGTTTGTTCCCAGCACCCTGCAAGGCAACACCGGATGATCCATCAGCTTTCCCTGACGGCAGCGGAGGGCTTCCTCGGCGAAAGACCAAAATGGAGACGTTTGTGACAATTGGAGAAATGAAAGCCAGCTGCCCTGGACTTGTCTTTCTGCAAGACCAGGTGGTGGCACGGGCAGCCTGGGCAGGTCCCTGCAGGAGAGCTGGCCTTGGAGGTGTTCGTGCAGCCAGAAAGGTTCTTTTGGGGGAGGCAAAATCGCCAGGGGGTTTTGCTGAGCAGGTCAAAATAATTGTCAGCGGGAGGAGGGTCCCGAGGGAGAGCGGCTTCACAAACATCTGAGGTAAGGCTTCACCTGGGATAAAACCCCTCCGCCAGCCCCGCCACCGAGCATCTCCCCTCCCACCACGGCTTCGCCCCATCCGACGGGAAAAAACTGCCGGCGCCGCGTCTCCCAACACCTTTCCTCTCCACCGAGCAGGTAAAAAGGGGTTTGATGTTTCCAGTTGTTCACCAGTCCCTTTTTGTGGCAGCTGGACCTGATGTGGGAAGTTATAAGCAGTAAATTTTATTTTTTAAATTTCATGTCACAGTTGTAATTTTTTTTTTTTTAATTTCTGCATTCGAATGGTCAGTTGGCAAACCTAAACCAACCACCAAACGAAGCCCAGTGAATGCTTCTGCTCTGTTCAGACAGCTGAACAGCAGCCAGCTTCCTGCAGCCCTGTTGGGATGAGCAGAAGCTTCAGGACAGAAGTTTCTGCTGGGTGAAGCCCTGCAGCACGGGCTCGTGCTCACAAGCAGCTCATTCTGTACTTGGCATGATTTTAAACATTTTTATTATTTTAAATAATTTAATATTTAAATATTTTTAAATATTTAGCACTTTCTTAACCTTGAAGGTGTTTCAGGCATAATTGTCGTCTCCAGGGCTGGAGGTCAGGTTGTCTCCACGGGGTGGAACGTCCACCTCCAGCTCACAACCCACTGAATCCCAGTGGCGAAGGCGCTGCCGGTGCAGAGACGCTCCTGCTTCCCGGGTTCCAGTCTTCCAGACGGAGCTACGACTACGTCTCCGTTACCAAGCGATGCTGACCAAGAAGATCTGAGGTCAGCAGAGTGAACTGAGTGGTGCTGGGACTTCCTTACCCTCCACACTCACCTCAGCCTTCCCGTGCTTTGAATTCAGCCTGTTTTGGGGGAGCGGGTGCTGTTTCGCGGCCGGGATGCACCGGTGCAGCTGCAGCTAAAGGAAGCCCAGCCGTGGTCTTCAGGAGCTTCCACGGGGCGAGCCCAAGTTCATAGCAGGGGCTGGAAGGGTTGCTTCAAAAAGAAAACCATCTCCCCACCCCGTCTACGGCTGATCCAGGGACATTTCGGCTGCGATGCAGACATCCGTAGGTAGATTTTCCATCAGATCATTGAGCTGCAGAGGGGCTGAGTGGGGGAGATGGGAGTATCCAAGCTGAGGCTTTAAAACCTTTGGTTTATATATATAAAATATATTTTAACCACCCTTAGGTGGATATTGGAGTCGGTGATAGGACACTCACTGCAGTCACGGCAAAGCTGTGCCGGAGCCAATGCCACCGCTCCACCCCCAGCACACGCAGGGGTTTTTCTGCAAAAGCAGATAAATTTAGAAATAAAAAAACCCCACGCAAACAATTCCGAGTGCACAGCTTTGTTTCGTGATGGAAAGGCTGCGCCAGCACTAACGAGGCCACTGAAATGCCCTGATCGAGCCTGAATTTAAAAAAAAAAAGGAAAAGAAACCCTCAAAATTCCCAGAAATGAGGGGGGAGAATCTGTTTTCCGCATTTTGGAAGGCGTTTCTTTGACTTTTTACAATCGAATAAACAGTATGATATTTCTTCGTGTATCATTAGTGCAATGCGTATAAATCATGGCAGAATTATTCTCTTTCAATATCCGAGTGTGTAATTATCTCTGCCTCTGACTGCGAAACTTGGGTTAGAGGCAGAGAGATCGTTGCCTTCTATTTTTCTAAAAAACCACACCATTTTCTATTGCATTTACTTTATGGATTAAACCCCGATGTTTCCACAGTAATCCTCTCTTAGGGATTTATTTCACTGCTTTATTTTATTTCTACGCAAATTCACCTAATTAATAGAAATGATGGATGGAGAAAACCTCTCTGTTTCATCCGGCTTCATCCTCTTGGGCTTCTCTGACGCCCGGGAGCGACAACCCACCACGTTCACCATTTCCTTATCCCTGTACGTGTTGGCGGTGCTGGGGAACCTGGTGATGATCCTGCTGATCAACGCCGACCCCCAGCTCCACACCCCCATGTATTTCTTCCTGACCCACTTATCTTTCATCGATTTTTGTCTTTCCACCACTGTCGTCCCCAAGGCGCTGGAGACCTTCCTGCTGGGGGGAAGCCACATCTCTTTTCTGGGTTGCTTTGCCCAGATTTATTGTTTCCTCGCTCTGATCGTCTGCGAGGGCCTCCTCCTGGGGGTGATGGCTTACGACCGATACGTGGCTGTGTGCACACCGCTGCTCTATGCCACCACCATGTCCAGGGCGCGTTGCCACGGCATGATGGTGCTGGTGTACGCCGTGGGCTTCCTCACCTCCCTGGTGCACACCGTCCCGGCGGGGAGGCTGGCCTTCTGCCGAGCCAGGAGCATCAACCACTTCTTCTGCGAGCTGCCCACCCTCCTGCAGCTCTCCTGCTCCGATGCCCACATGAACGAGACTCTCCTGGCTTCCAACGCCGGGGTCAGCATCGTGGGCTCTGTCCTGGTGATCCTGGCTTCCTACGCCTGCATCGTCCACGCCATCCTGCAGATCCCTTTGGCCGGGGGAAGGCTTAAAGCTTTCTCGACCTGCACCTCCCACCTGGCTGCCGTCACCGTCTTCTACGGGCCGGGGATGCTCGCCTACGTCCAGCCTCGCAAAGCGTCCTCGTGGGAGGAGGCAAAGCTGGTTTCGGCGTGCTACACCATCCTCACCCCCACGCTCAACCCCCTCATCTACAGCCTGAGGAACAAGGAGGTGACGGGGGCCCTGAGGAGGCTGTGGGTGCGAAAGCTGCTGCCGTGTCTATCCAGGCTTTGAAAAGGCATCTGCAGCTCTCCGGGGCTTGGGGGGGAGGCAGGAA